GGACCCTCACCCCATGAGGGTATGGCCAGCCTGGGTGAGGGGCTGAGAGCTGTTTTCAGGCTGGCCACACCCCCTTCTGAGTGGGGGTCCCCACTGGGGTCCTTGGCCAGCCTGGGTGAGGGGCTGATGGCTGTTTGTAGGCTGGCCATGGCCCCTGGCAATCCAGGCTCCCAGACCCTCCTTGAGCGGAGGCCAAAGCAGCTGGAAGCAGGTATCTGAGTTTTATTTATCTTCTATAATTGAAACTTTGTAGCCTTGAGCGGAGCCCAGGGCCAACCAGGGCAGTCAAGAAGCTTGGCTTCCTCCATCACTGGGGGCAACCCAAGCCTTCTGTTTGCTCCAGCTCAGTGCCTGCCACCATCTTAGTTGGGTTAGTTTGCATACTTGCTCCTGATTGGCTGGTGGGCGTGGCTTGTGGGTGTAGCAGAGTGACACCAATTTGCATGTTTCTCTTTTATTAGTGTAGATAGTGTAGATTAGTTTCAGGTGTATAGCATAATGGTCAGATAATTATATTAAATCTTATTTGTAAGAAATAACTGCTAGTCCAACTACTGCCTGTTTACATGATCTGTTTTGATCTTATTAGTGCAACCAAGTTATAACTCCTGCTTGTAGAATCAAGCCTTCAGCTTAAGTTTTTCCTTTTTACATTGGACAAGATTGTCTTAGTCTTACCTACTACTCTGATCTGCTTAGATGGTGATAAGTCATCAATGCCATCAGCTCTTTGTTGCCTTCCTACCCAACCAGCTCATTCATTAGAACTTTTGTTGTCTCACCTGGACAGAGCAAATGGTGCCATCAGCAATTGTGTGTGTGTATCTTTCCCAACCCAAGCTATATTAGGAGAGTGATTGATTTTATTCTTCATTGACTTTTTTTTCTTCTTTGTCTCATGTAAATTGTTTGGCATTTTGTTTTGTAGAAATAAATTTTAAGTTTGTTTATTAGATAGGCAAGGCTTTTTAAAAAAATAAATGAAAAAGTGCATTTTGTTCTCTGTGCAACAAAGATGATCATATTTATTGTGAAGACCAATTAATTTTAATTCACTTGGTTGTGACTTTATTTTTATCTTTTTATTTATTTTTATTTTTTAAATATATTTTATTGATTTTTTTACAGAGAGGAGGGGAGAGGGATAGAGAATTAGAAACATCGATGAGAGAGAAACATCGATCAGCTGCCTCCTGCACACTCCCTACTGGGGATGTGCCTGCAACCAAGGTACATGCCCTTGACCGGAATCGAACCTGGGACCCTTCTTTCCGCAGGCCAATGCTCTATCCACTGAGCCAAACCTGTTAGGGCGGTTGTGACTTTTTAAAAGAGATTTGATATCTTTATATAAGATTTTTGATAAACTTACTTGTGCTTTCTCAATCCCTTTAGAATTGGTCTGCAAGGTGATGTGACTGATCCAAGGACGAATAGCTTCTTATATATTCTAGATATTCTCCCCAGGTAAAAACCTTAGATTCCTGTACAAGCTTACCTTAAATTTAAAACCGTGGATCTGGCAGAATGTGATGGACATTTTATAGAGATTAGCAGTTTATACATGCTGCCTGCAGATACTGTGCATGTCATTTATCTTCTTCTGCATGAATAATAAGAGAACTGCAAATGTTTGCTGATTCCACAGTTGCCACTACAGTGAGTGACAGGGAATTACAGCCTAATAGCTAAATTCTGTTGCCTCTGCTCATAGTATTAATGCAGATGAAGCGTCTGTTAGCGAATGCTGTTGTCCATGGCCTGGAAGCCTGTGCTAGCCCTGTGTAAATGGCAGCCTTTGAGTTGCATCAGAGGCTCTGTGTGAACCCATGTTTCGAGATAAACTCAATGGAAATTAACATTTCAAATGTTAACTTTATCAGGTATGCCATGATTATGGGGAAAATGAATAAAATATGAGTTATCTTCATCCCTTATAAAATTCTTTTATAAAAAATGAGAGTTTAGAAAATTGCTTACCTCATATTTCCCACAAATAAGGAATTTCTTCATTTTGTTCTTCTTAACAATGAGATTTTTGGAATTCTATTGGTTTTGTTTTTGTATTGTTTTTAGGTTACAAACATTACCGAAGTATATTCTTTTAGAAAATGTTAAAGGTTTTGAAGTATCTTCTGCAAGGTAAAGCATGTATTTGTCTTGTGTTCATCTTAGCTGTTGTGAAGTAAAGATCTTAAAAATAAACATGTACATTCTGACATTTTATATGTTATATATTTTATTCATTAATATTGATTTTGAAAAGCATCACAAAGTTAAGTTAAATTGATTCTCTCCCGTTCTGATGTTTGAAATTTTCTAGAATGAGCAATTATTTTAATAAGAATGATATTTCTCAATTATAGCTGCTTATATTGGTGCTTAGTTATTTAGAAGTAGAAATGTTTTCAGTAAGAATTGGCCCTTAAGATCCATCTATGTTGTCATAAATGGCAGTATTTTATCTTTTCTTATGGTTGAGTAGTGTTACATTGTGTATGTGTACCACATCTTCTTTATCCAATCATCTGTTGAAGAATCTTTAGAATATCATGTTAAGTAAAGTAAGTCAGACATAAAAAGTTAAGAACCATATGATTTCACTCATATGTGGGATATAAAACTGAAAGCAACAATGAACAAATAAGAAAAACAGGCAAATAAGAACTCATAGACACAGACAACAGTATGGTTGGTGGTTACCAGAGGAAAGGGAGGTGTCGGGGAGTAATAAAGGGTAAAGGGGCCAAATATATGGTGACAGAAGGAGACTTGACTTTAGGTGATGGGCACACAATGCAATATACGGATCATGTATCATAGAATTGTATACTTGAAACCTATATAATTTTATTAACTCATGTCACCGCAATAAATTTAATTTAAAAAAGAAAAGAAAAGAATTGGTCCGGTGGACAGGCTTTTTCAGTCATACAGTAAGACAGAAAAAGCCATGTGTTGGGGCCCTTTCAGATGGTAGCCCAGCTGGAGAGAAAGCATGCACACTTTTTATTTAGCTGCTGTCTTTAGCAGTGTTCTCCCATCTGACTTACTAGATAGTTCCATTTCCCATAGCAAATTTAGCATCAGTAGATTGGCAATTCTATCTCTCACCAGTTTGGATAAATTATCTGAGAGCTGTATTTATTTAAAATAGAAATTATCATTGTCTTTTTTTGAGAAATGTAATTTCTCAAGTACTGCACTTAATGAAGACCTTGGATCATTCTCCTTCTAACAACTTGAGTGGAGGAACAGTTTTCAGTTAAAATGAAATTTTATGTATAATATTTTATATAAGAACCTAATTCCCAACTTTAAGGTGAAAGCGTTTCTTTTTTATTTTCCTTTATTTTTGTCTTTTCAGAGACCTGTTAATAAAAACAATAGAAAATTGCGGCTTTCAGTACCAAGAATTTCTATTATCTCCAACCTCTGTAGGTACCACAATTATAAACTCTTATACATTTTCTCAAAGGGAATTTGAATCAGTAAGAACAGTGGTTGGCAAACTGCGGGTTGCGAGCCACATGCAGCTTTTTGGCCCCTTGAATGTGGCTCTTCCACAAAATAGCACGTGCGGGCGCGCATGTACAGTGCGATTGAAACTTCGTGGCCTATGTGCAGAAGTCGGTGTTTTGTGGAAGAGCCACACTGTAGGGGCCAAAGAGCCGCATGTGGCTCGCGAGCCGCAGTTTGCCGACCACTGAATAGATCTATTTAGATAATATTATAGGTAAATCTTAAAATTACTTCAGACATGGGTTTTATTTTCTAAAGAATATAGTACAGGCTTATAGATTCACTTATACTTATTTTATGAAAAATATATAACTTGAGGCTCATAGAGAATATATTTTTCTTTCTATACAGAAAAAATAAGTGTGTTTTGAAATTATGTGCCATATGGTATTTCCAAAATGCGTGTGCTATAGTTTAGTAATGCTTCAGAATAATCCAAAATAGAAAAAAAATGAACATATCATAATATTTTAATTCCTTTTATTGGGACATTTCATTAATATGCAAACATTGCTTCTATTTCATGGGTAAGAAACTTATTATAAGAATTTGGTACATCTTTGATATTACAATTGTCATTGTCTATTTTTATTTTGTCTTTCTGTTTGTTAGCCTATTACCATCTTTTTCTGTTTTACAGTTCTTTGCCCTGAAATGAAAAGAAAACCCATTTCAAAAATTAGATGTCCATGTTTTTGTTTTCATTTTTTTGTTGTTCTTATTGAACTTAAGCATATCCTAAGATTACAAAGCAAGTACATTAAAAAATTCTTATCATTCACAATGACTTCTCTTTGGACCAGGGTTTATAGTCAACTACGTTATAGTCAACCCAAATAGCAAGGGGGAAAGAATAGATGCTGTAGATCAGGGGTCCTCAAACTACGGCCCACGGGCCACATGCATATACAAATATTGTATTTGTTCCCGTTTTGTTTTTTTACTTCAAAATAAGATATGTACAGTGTGCATAGGAATTTGTTCATAGTTTTTTTTTAAACTATAGTCCGGCCCTCCAACGATCTGAGGGACAGTGAACTGGCCCCCTGTTTAAAAAGTTTGAGGACCCCTGCTGTAGATAGTAAGGGGATTGTAACCTCTATCCATCTTACTCCTTTCAGTCTGTTCATTTATTCAATAAATCTTTATTGAATGAACACTTACTTTGCACGTGGAACTGTTCTTCATGGACTGTATAAGCTAATATTACACTTTAAACCTAAAAAGAAATTAACACCAATAAAAAAAATTAGATGTCCCACTGTGAAAATTGGCAATGTATCTGATCTCTAATTTTAATATTTATTTCCTTTTAACTTTAAAATGTAGTGAATCCTTCTTTTTTTTTTAATAAAATGAGGTAATAAATACCCAAGAATAACTATATTTTATAGTTACTATATTATCAATGTCTATATAACTTCTTACCTGGAAAATATGGAATTAAAGTGACTCATAGACATATGATTTATCAGATTCAATCTTTATTTAATTCAAAATAAAGGTACAAAGCAACAGTTTAAAGGGTTTAAGGGTTTGTGCAAAATAGTCTTCCACAACTCAGTAACAGAATTTTTTATGGCACAGGCTAAATGTATACCTGTATGAGGCTCTTTACTAGGTGCTAACAGTTGATAGAGATCTCTTTTATTTCCAGCTTGGCATTCCAAATTCAAGACTACGGTATTTCCTTATTGCAAAGCTTCAGTCAGAGCCATTACCTTTTCAAGCCCCTGGCCAGGTATAGTTATGGTTGTTGTTACCAAACAGAATTTTTTATGGCACAGGCTAAATGTATACCTGTATGAGGCTCTTTACTAGGTGCTAACAGTTGATAGAGATCTCTTTTATTTCCAGCTTGGCATTCCAAATTCAAGACTACGGTATTTCCTTATTGCAAAGCTTCAGTCAGAGCCATTACCTTTTCAAGCCCCTGGCCAGGTATAGTTATGGTTGTTGTTACCATCATTATTATTATATATATATAGTAAATATATTGAATCTGCTCATTTATTTCAAAAACTGCATTGTAGAGGCTTCTATGTATCTTACTGAGTCTGTAATATAGACTATGCATAGGTCTATCCCCTGGGCCTAGCCCGTGGTCGGCAAACTGCGGCTCGTGAGCCACATGCGGCTCTTTGGCCCCTTGAGTGTTTCTCTTCCTAAGCCTTAGGAGTACCCTAATTAAGTTAATAACAATGTACCTACCTATATAGTTTAAGTTTAAAAAATTTGGCTCTCAAAAGAAATTTCAGTCGTTGTACTGTTGATATTTGGCTCTATTGACTAATGAGTTTGCTGACCACTGCTAGGCCTTTTTTTTCTCCTGGTGCCATATTTATTGCCTTAAACCAGTGGTTCTCAACCTTCCTAATGCCGCGACCCTTTAATACAGTTCCTCATGTTGTGGTGACCCCCGACCATAAAATTATTTTTGTTGCTACTTCATAACTGTAATTTTGCTACTGTTATGAATCGTAATGTAAATATCTGATATGCAGGATGTATTTTCATTGTTCGCAACCCACAGGTTGAGAACCGCTGCGGCTTAAACAAAACAAAAATTTTCTTTCATCATTAGAAAAAAAATGAGTTAAAAGTTTAAAAAATTACCATTAGTGCAGTTACCCTCTTTTTCTCTCAACAAAATCCTTTGGTTCCGTTTTCGTTGAAGTCAATGCTCTTTAGCTTTAATTGATTAAATGTAGTAATGAGTAGTACAAACTACAATAAAGTGCTCAGTTGCTATAGATAGTCTATCTAATTGCGCAAATAGTTAAACATCCTTCTCTCAGCAATTGGTCTGAATAATAGAGTTTCAGTGGTTCAGTGAAGCTCTCCGTAACTATCACAGGAGAGAACCTAAAAGTCATGTCCTACAGGGGGTCAATAGTGTCATTTTAATCCCCTGCAATACAGTACCAATACATCTCCCTTCCCATAGTGGGCAATTCCAAAAAGAATGTACAAAGCATTTTAACAAAGACTTCATTAAAAATTCCTGGAACTTTTTTTTTTTTTTTTTTACAAAATAGGACATTATACATGGTTACATGTTTTGCAGGAACAAGTTTTTCCTATGGGACTCAGGAGTAGAAATAACCTTTCAGAGTGAAAAGTGCTTTTCTTTTTTTAATTACTAGTTTTCCTTTAGATCTTGGGTATGTTCCAGTTTTTCTTCTTTGATGAAGGGGATGGCAAACTTGAATCTGAAGTGCATTTTCTAGAAATGTTAATGTTGCTTCTAAACTTTTTTCACAGATATGATGCTCTACATTTAGTCAACATATTTCCTGTTACTTTGTTGAATATTTTTATTAATAAATACACAAAGCAGCAACTCCATGAAATAAATAATCTGCAGTCAGATGATACTATAACTATATGAAGAATAACTTGTAATAACTCGTATAAGTACAAATAAACCACACTTTTTATCTTTCAAATGACAACTTTATAAAGGCTAAAATAATTTTTGCATAATGTTGACCGGACATTATTAATTTCTTTTATTTTTAATAAAGCTTTGGACAATATGTATATTTTTGTTTAATGCCAGGTACTAATGGAGTTTCCCAAAATGGAATCTGAACATCCTCAACAACATGCAATAGATGCAGTCAATAAAACTGAAGGAAAGAAAATTGAACCAAATATTTGCTTTGATAGCAGCAGACAGTGTTCAGGAAAAGAAGCCATTCTTTTTAAGCTTGAAACTGCAGAAGAAATTGAGCGGAAACATCAACAGGACAGTGACCTCTCTGTACAAATGCTAAAAGCTTTTCTTGAAGATGATATTGACGTGAATCAGTACTTTTTACCACCAAAGTCGTTGCTGCGATATGCTCTTTTGTTAGACATTGTTAAGCCCACTTGCAGGAGATCCATGTGCTTTACAAAAGGGTAGGTTTTAAAGAGAGACTATTCATGGTATATCCAAAATAACCAGGGTTTTTTTTATACCTGTTGTCTCTTTTAGTTCTTCTCAAAACAAGGAGCATTTTATAAAATGTTTCTGCTAGAATGTTTTTTTTTTCACCCTTAATTGCCTGCTTTCATGTTCTAGTAGAATACATGAGTGAAAAGTCCTTCTGGCAGAACATTATATACACAACCCATAAAAGTGCTCATAAAAGACGATGCCATTTGTTTGGTGACTTCCATGGGAGCATAAAACATGGTTTCTATACAGGGTAAATTACTAATTTTTTAGCACCTTTCATTTTATGCCACATCAAACCTCAAAAGTTTATGTCTTCTCTCATGATCAATATATAAGAAGAAATTAAATTTTAGTATCAAAATACAAAATTGAATCATCTGGCTCATGTTAGAGTACATTTTAAATTTTATTTCGTTTTTTAAATAAGAATAAATTCTCCTAGTTCAAATTACAAAAGGCACTAAGATTTTAAGACTCCCTTCTACTCTGTCTTGGCCATTCAGTTTTCCTCACGACATGTAACCAGTGATTTCAATTTACTGTCTCATCTTCCAGAGGTATTATGTGTGAAGGTGCATTTAAATACACATCTATATTTTTCCCCCTCCTTTAAGAAGTGGTAACATATTATATCTATTTTTATGTATGTGCCCCCCTTTTTTTTGCACAATATAAACTGGGTATTATTGCATATAAGTACATAAAGAACTTTTCTATTCTCGTGGTATGGGTATAGCATCATTTCTTTTACTGGTTAACTTTGGGTTATTTCTTGAATGTTAATATGTTTTTCACCAATATTTTAAAACCTAGAAAGAAGGGAAAATTTAGGTCTTTCCAGAAAATGTGAAAGATCCCTGATTCAGCTTTGTTAATTCCATTCAACTTCATTTGATACATAGTCTTCTCTTTTTACTTACTAGCTACCTATCTTGCACAAGACACTATGTTCATGATATAATCATACCAGATTCATTCTGATTTTATCATACTTTGCCCCTGTACTTCCAGGAGAACAGGTTTATTGCTTTTCATTACCTTAAAAGACATCACTCAGCTGTTGTCTTTTTCCAAGTCTAATAGGTTCTTTTTAGGATTTTAATAAAACAGCCTCGCATTTTTTTGTAGCTATAAAGATTGTATAAAAGAAGCCTTACTGTAAAAGTCTATTTTAGTGTGGATAATACAAATATACATATATAATATGTGAGAAAACAATTTGATAACAATTTTTCCCTGCTGTGACTTTCTTTAATTTATATTTTAAATTGATCTATTAGGAAAAATAATAATGATAATATGTTGAACAACCAGCTTGGCAATGATCTTAGGGGAAGAAATATTACTAATACCTTGCAGTATTCTCATTGTTGTATGGAAAGAGGAAAAATGTACTGTGTTACAGTCAGAGGCAGATGCATATTGAGTGGGCGCATGTTTGTCATGATACTGGATAGTGGGACCTTGTGTTCATGAGAAGAAATGATGGTCTGGCATTATAAAAAAAAGAGCAGCAATTTATTTTTACCTGCCTAACATTTGGTTTAAAGTAGAAGGGATATAAGTATGGAATAGTTTTTAGATATAAAATTGGAACAAGTTCATACTTACAAGTGATGAACATTTTAAAAATGACAATACAAAGAAATGGCAATTGATAATACATAATTCAAAATAGTATTTACACAACTCAAAAAACTTCCACATTTAGTGTCTGAGAAGCTTAAATAAAATGACCTTATACCCCTTACCCAGTTATTATTAAATCATTAAGCCTATTTATGTGATGATATCCAGAATATTACAGAAGGATAGAATTATGTAGATTGATTAATTTATTCGGGAAATATTTAAGAAATTTTGCATTAACAAATACATTAGATAATATTTGTGTTAATTTTTCAGTTATGGGAGGTACATAGAAGGGACAGGATCTGTGTTGCAGACTGCAGAGGATGTGCAGGTACTATGCATGCTTTAGAACTTAATTATTTTAAATAAAATTATTTTTAATACTTAAAATTTGAGAATGTCAAAATAATTTTACATGTTCTATTGGAAATGGATATATATTATTCATATTTATATTCATATATAGTAATTCTTTACTATAGAAAATTTTCTTGCTGCATAAGTTTATATAAAAAGAATATTTTATGTTTTTATTCTTGCCTTCTGTATTTTTTATTCCATAAAGAGTAAGTTGACATGCAGTGTGCAACAGTTAATTTCTCTAAAATTATGTACAAATATCTTAAAATTGGGGACTTCTTTTGGAGCACATACTATGACTTTTAAGGAAAGAAGTCTATGTTTGAGCAAAGCATTTTATTAATATTTCAATTATAAACTCTTTATAGTATCATGGTTGAATATAAGCTTGATATTTTGCAAGTTTTATACTTTTGGATAAGTTTGAAATGAAATCACATTATCTTCTTTTATAATGATTTAAACTCACTATTAATAAGATCTGCCCATTTAACATCCTATCAGAGGCAACTGAATGTCTATATTTGAGAAATCATATTTATTAAATATATTTTATTATTTTAAGAAAATGTTATGAAATTGATAATAAACAGTAAACATTTTAATGATGTATCTGTTAAACATTGTAAAATTGACCTCATTGATCAAGTTTTTTTTTATATTTCCCTCTATTTTTTGTTATATTGTCTTTTATTATTTATATTCTTATTTAATTTTTGAGGAATCAAAAATGACAGATACATTGCAAGTATCCTGATCTGTTGAACATTAAGGTTTTGTCCATTTTCAAAGTTTATATTGCCATTGATGAGCCAATTACGTAGTTTATTGAAGAGACATTTTGTCTGGGCTGTCGTGTGTTACAGCAGACATTCCATCGTTTTTAAGCTGTCTCACAAAAGGTGATCTTATCTTAACAAATCTAATTGCCATCTACTTCATCAGTTACCTTGGGGCTTTTCTTACAGATTGAGGATATCTACAAATCTCTTACCAATTTGTCACAAGAAGAAAAGATAACAAAATTGTTAATGCTTAAACTTCGATATTTCACTCCTAAAGAAATTGCAAATCTTCTTGGATTTCCTCCAGAGTTTGGTATGTGGGGTACACGCAGACCTCAGCTTTTGTTTATTAAAGATCCCAAAATGCATTGGGGAATCATGTGTATTTTATGAAGAAATCTTTGCTTAGACAGATGGATGTAAGAAACCTCATTTCTTTCCTGATTGCGCAATTATTGACATTTTTCTTTCCTCACCTTTCACATTCATTTATACCTGCCTCAGACCAGTCCCTTCAAACTTGTGTCCCTCCTCCTTCACTCCAGTTATGGTCCTGAGTGATTTTCAGGGACAAGGGGCCAAATCAGCAATTTCCCGCCTCCTTCATGGATGGATGTTGATAGTATCTTTCTCCAGCTTATTTTCTTTCTCCCAGAGGTCCTGTTTTAATAATAACCCAACATTAGATTGTGTGAAAAAATGCCTAGAATTGTCTTTTTTATGAAGAAATTAAAAGGAGGTTGAGGAACTTATTTATTATTTTTGTGTGAGGGGTTTATTCTCCCCGAAGATGCATTCTTATCACTCATGCGATTTTGTCCTTTCCTATAAAGTTTAAGTGGAGAAAAGAGAAGGCGGAGAAGCAGTCTAGGAAGGAGCTGTCTTAATGGAAAGAAAGGGTGACTCAGGACTCAGGTGCCAGAACCTATGAAAATGAGGGGATCTGACGCAGGGAATCTCAGGAACAAAACTAAGACAGATACAGCTGTAGAGGAAGACAAAGTCCTAACTCTTTTCCCAGTCCAGGAATTCCAGGGGCTGTTGCTATTAAGAGATGGGGACACATTGCCTTTCCTTCTTAGAGCTGCCCTGTCTCTTCCTGGTCCCTTTTCCTGGGCACCTGTGCTCTCCCCTGTGTGGATGCCATGTCTTAGGCTGGGGTGGCTGTGCTCCCAGTACCTGGCTCACGAGAAGGGGAAAGACAGACCTCCTTAACGTGCTTCCAGGGCTACACCAGGAGGGCATGTGTTTTTGATAACTCTGAAGTTTGAAGGCAGAAAAGCCAAATTGCTCAATCCAATGCTATTGTAAGAGTAATGCAGTACTTTTCTTGAAGCACATAATGGGCTAAATAGATCATGTTTTAAATTCTAAATAATGGATTTACAGATGAAGTTTTAGAGCACATCCTTTTGTGTAGATAACAAACTGCTAATACAGTTTGACTGCCCTCTTGGTAATTGATTCTCTGAGCATAGTCACAGCAACCAGGTTTGTTTTGTAGTCTCCCTTTTTCTTGGTGAGCTCATTCAGTCACAGATATCCTGGGGAGTGTTATTTAAGAAAAACATAGACTTTTTTTGGTCTAGTTTATGTCACAAAATGAGTGAGAACATCATAAAACAAACAAAGAGCTGAGAGTTAAACTCAAGAATTTAATTCCCAGTCTGCTCTCCTTGTTATTATTTTCTTTTTTACAATGAACAATCAAAGGTATTTTCAACAGTACTAAAGGGAGAAAAGAGATTTACTATGTAATAACAAATAATTCCTAAGTTTTATTTGAGTTTTTCAAATAGTACTCATCAGTTTCATAATATTGAAACTAAGCATGTACCCCAGAGTCAGACTGACTGAGTCTGAATCCTAGGTCTACCTAACCACTCTCTGCCTTAGTTTACACATCTGTATAATGGTGATAATTGCAGCACCAAATTCAAAGGGTTGTTGTGACAAGTAAGTTAGTATATGTAAAATGTTTACACCCTGACACATAATATAAAATTTAAGTGTCAGCCTTTATTTTGTAAATCATAAACATTTATTTGTTTTTATAGCCTTTACTATAAAGATTTTTTTCTCATTATTTAAAAATTTTAGATGGATAAAATTAGAGTTTTTCATAGCTCTCTGAAAATATATGTATAGTACACACAAAAAAGCCTTTTCCATTGGTTAACCATTTTTCAAATATGCGATCTGTTTGTATGATCAGACTTGCCCTGATGTCCTCACTGAGCAGCACTCTGACAGAACTGTCCTTCCCATGCGCTTTTGACATTGACTCCAGTCCGAAACGGGCACTGTGTGAGCTGCCTCACTGAGCAGCACTCTGACAGAACTGTCCTTCCCATTGACTCCAGTCCGAAATGGGCACTGTGTGAGCTGCCCGTCCACTGGCAATGATGGATGTTCATTGACTTTTCCATACACTTGTCCTGGTTCCCTTTGTGACTGGTGGCATGCATTTGTGAGACAGCAGGCTTTGGAAGAGAGGAACACTCATCTATACTTACTAAAGGAAAGCTGCTAACTTGACCTCATTAATTCTGTTCTTTTTATTATTTGTCTATGAGGATTATTATTTTTTTTAATGTATCTAAGTTTTTTTAAAAGACATCTTTTAAAAAATTATGTAATCTTTCCATAAGCTAGCTTAGATTTTAATATCTATATTTAGATACAAAATATACAGACATATAAAATTTTTACAAATCTGACTCGTTCTCAAATTTATACTGCAAAAGATCGTCTTTAAAATATTTTAAAAGTCTGTTTGTAGGTATATTTGTACCTCTGGATACTTTGAACTTACTAATTTTTCAGATGACTAATATGCTTGCCTAAGACATACTATCTTTATAATAGCAATTTTGTTGTTATGCTCAATTGCAAATATAGTTTTACTATGGCAATCACTGTTATTTTATTGTAGTAAATATAATGTCAAGTGTTGATGAAGCAACTTTACCCTAATCAGCTCTACCTTTTGGTTCTCACAAGTGTATGAAATGTTGCTATTCTTTTTTTTTTTTTAAGTATTTTCTATTGATTTTTTGTATAATTTTTTAAAAATGTATCTTTATTGTTGAAAGTATTACAGATGTCCCCTTTGTGTTTTTTTTTCTGTTTCCCATGGACCCACTCCACTCCACACTGGCACCTCCCAGGCCTTCACCATGGGTTATGCATATATGCATATAAATTCTCTGGTTAATCTCTAACCTCTACTCCCCACCCTGCCTTCCTTCATTTTATTATCTACTTGCTTTTCTTTTATATAATTGCTATGCCAAAGGATACTGAATGTGAATTTCTAACATTGTAACTAACATGCTCTATACTCTGAGGCATATATAATCTTTTATGTTGATACTCACAAGGCTTTGTTCCAGCAAATGTAGTATCTTGTGGGCCATTTTGTTTTAAAAAAGAATGTAGCAAATAGAAGTTCACTATGAGAAAGTTAATTTGTGGAAGCACAATATTAAAAAAAACAGCTGTGAGGAACTTGTATCCAAAATATATATAAAGAACTCTTACAACTCAACTATAAAAAGAAAATTAATCAAATTTTAAAATGGGCAAAGGATTTGAATAGACATTTCTCTGAAGAAGATAGACAAATGGCCAATAAGCACATGAAAAGATGTTTAACATCATTAGTTATGAGGGAAATGTAAATCAAAGCTACAGTAGATACTATTTCACAAAAAAAGTCAATAACAGTGCTGAAAAAGATGTGGAGAAAGCAGATCACGTGTATATTGCTAATGGGAATATCAAATGACACAGCCGCTTTGGAAAAACAGTCTGACAGTTTCTCAGATGTTACACGTAGAGTTTTTGTTTGACCCAACAATTTATCCCTGCAGGTGTCCCAGAGAATGAAAAATAAATGTCCATGCAAAAACGTATACTTAATGTTCATAACAGGTTTATTCATAACAATTAAAAAGTAGAAAAAACCCCCAAACTTCTATCAATGAATGAATGGATAAATAAAATGTAGTATACCCATACAATAGAATATAGTAGGCTATAGAAGGGGAATGAAGTATTGTTACATTCTGGAACATAAATGAACCTTGAAAACATTATGCTTAGTGAAAGAAGCCAGACACAAAAGCAGCATATTGTATGGTTCCTTTTATATGAAACTAGAAGCCCGTGCGGCCTGTGCCTTCTCGCAGTCTGGGACCCCTAGCTCCTTACCGCCCGCCTGCTTGCTGCTCCTTACTGCTTGGCTTGCTGCTCCTTAGTGCTGCCGCTGAGGTGAGAGAGGCTCCTGCCACTGCCGCCGCCGCCAGCCATCTTCTGGCTGATCAGCGCTTCCCCTCTGGGAGTGCACTGACCACCAGGGGCAGCTTCTGCGTTGAGCGTCTGCCCCACTGGTGGTCAGTGTGCATCATAGCGACCAGTCATTCTGGTCGTTCCGCTGTAACGGTCGCTTAGGCTTTTATTATATAGATGTTCAGAACTGGCAAATCCACAGAAACAGAATGTAGATTACTGGTTGAGGGGCAGGGAGGGAAAATAGTAAGTGACCGCTAATGGGTACTAGCTTTTTAAAAAATTGAGGTGTAATTGACATATAATATTATGTCAGTTTCAGGTGTACAACAGTGATTGGATATTTGTATACATTGTGAAATGGTCAGCACAATTAGTTAACAATAAGTCTAGTTAACATCTTTCACCATACATAGTTACAATTTTTTTTGTGTGATGATGACTTTTAAGATCTACCCTCTTAGCAGCTTTCAAATATGGAATACAGTGTTATTAACTACTAAAGGCCTGGTGCACAAAATTCATGCACGAGGGTGAGGGGGTTCCCTCAGCCCAGCCTGCACCCTCTCCAATTTGGGACCTCTCGGGGAATGTCCGACTGCTGATTTAGGCCTGATCCTGCACTCCAATCCGGTTTCCCTTGGGGAATGTCCAACTGCCAGTTACAATCCTGGACTGCTGGCTCCTAATCGCGCACCTGCCTGCCGGCCTGATCATCCCTCACTGCCTCTGGTGCTGGCCTGGTTTCCCCTAACTGCCCCCACTGCCAGCCAGGTCACCCCCAACTGCCCCCTCTTGCCAGCCTGGTTGCCCCCAACTGACCCCCTGCTGGCCTGGTCACCCCCAACTGCCCTCCCCCTGCTGGCCTGGTCGCCCCTCACAGCCCCCCCGCCAGCCTGGTCACCCCATGCAGCCTGCTTGTTCAGTCATTTGGTCATCCCTCACTAACCCCCCTGCCGGCCTGGTTGCCCCACACAGCCTGCTTGTTTAGTCGTTTGGTCATCCCTCACTAACCCCCTACTGGCCTGGTCATAGGCAGTCATCTTGTGAGGGCATGAGAGTTAATTTGCATATTACCTCATTATTATATAGGATAGTCATCATGCTGTATATTACATCTTCATAACTTATTTATTTTATAGCTGGAATTTTGTACCTTTTGATCCTCTTCACTCATTTTGCCCCCCTTCATCACCACCTATCTGTTCTCGGTATCTATGAGCTTTTTTGTTGGTTTTCTTGCTTGGTTTACTTTTTAGATTCCACATATGAGTAAGATCATATGGTCTTTCTCTCTCTGACCTCACTTAGCATAATGCCCTCTCCGTCCATATTGTCGCAAATGGTGAGATATCATTTTTTTTATGGCTCATAGTATTCTGTTGTATATACGACATTTTCTTTTCTATTCATTTATTGATGGACACTTAGGTTATTTCCATACCTTGGTTACAGTAAATAATGATGTAGTGGGTATGTAAGTGTATATATCTTTTCTAATTAGTGTTTTTGTTTTTATTGGGTAAATACCCAGAAGTGAAATTACTGAATCATATGGTAGTTCTATTTTTTAATTTTTTGAGAAGCCTCCATATATTTTCCACAGTGGCTTAACCAGTTTGTAGTCCCATCAACAGTGTATATCCTCGCCAACACTTTATAGTACTTGTCTTTTTGATGATAGCCATTCTAACAGGTGTGAAGTAATATCTCATTGTAGTGTTGATTTTTATTTCCCTGATGCTTAGTGATGTTAGGCTTGCTTTTATGAGACTGTTGGCTGTCTGTATGTCTTCTTTGGAAAAATGTCTATTCCTCTGCCAATTTTTAATTTTATTTCTTGTTTTTTTATTTTGTTTTGTTTTTTGCTATTGAGTTATATGAGTTCTTTATATATTTTGGATATTAACCCTTTATCAGATATCTAATTTACAAGTATTTAATATTTTCTCCCATTCAGTAGGTTGGTTTTTTTTGTGTTTTTTTTTTTAATCAACACCCAAGGATATTTTTCCATTGATTTTTAGAGAGAGTGGAAGGGAGAGAAGAGGGAGGAAGGGAAAAAGGGAGGGCGGGAGTGGAAGAGAAAGAGAGAGAGAGAGAGAGAGAGAGAGAGAGAGATCCATGTGAGAGAGACACATTAACTGGTTGCCTCCTGCACACACCCCAACTGGGGGCCAGGGATCAAGCCAGCAACTGAGGTCTACAGGCCAATGCTCTAACCACTGCACAACCAGCCAGAGCTGGCTTTTTTTGTTTGTTGATGATTTTTTATTTATTTATTTATTTTTTTTGCTGTGTAGAAGCTTTTTACTTTTAGTCTTACTTGTTTATTTTTGCCTTTGCTTTTGGAGTTATATACAAAAATATCATCTATAAGACCTTACCACCTATGTTTTCTTCTAGGAGTTTGATGGTTTCAAGTCTATGTTCAAGATTAAAGACTTAATTTTGAGTTAATTTTTGTGTACAATGTAAGATAGTCTATTTTCATTCTTTTGCATGTGACTACCCAAATTTTCTAACACTGGTAATTGAAAAAACTATCCTTTCCCCATTTTATATTCTTGCCTCCTTTGTCGTAAATTAATTGGCCATATATCCATGGGTTTATTTTTGGGTGCTCTATTCTGTTCCACTGATCAATAACTCTGTTTTTATACCAATACCATACTGTTTTGATTACTTTATGTTTCTAATATAGTTTGAAATAAGGGAGTGTGATGCTTCCAGCTTTGTTCTTCTTTCTCAAGAAGAACAATAGCAAAATTGTTTTTGCTATTTGTGTCTTTTGTGATTCCAAATAAATTTTAGGATTGTATGTTCTATTTCTGTGAAAATAGTCATGGGGATTATATTAGGTATTGCATTGAATCTGTAGATTGCTTTAAGTAATATGGACATTTTAATAATATTAGTTCTTCTAATCCATGAGTACATGATATATTTACATTTATTTCTGTCTTCTTCAATTTCTTTCATCAGTGTGTCATAGTTTTTAGCATACAGCTCTTTCACCTCCTCGGTTGAATTTCTTCCTAAGTATTATATTCTTTTTGATGCAGTTACTAGTATAAATTGGATTGTTTTCTTAATTTCTCCTTCTGATAGTTCATTATTAGTGTATAGCAACACAACAGATTTTTGTAAGTTAATTTTGTATCTGCAACTTTACTGAATTTGTTTATTCTAACCGTTTTTGGTTGAGTAGTTAGGGTTTCTGTATACAATGTCACATCATCTACAAATAATGATTGTGTTACTTCTTCCTTTCCAATTTGGATGCCTTTTATTTCTTTTTCTTGTATAACAGTTCTGACAAGAACTTCCAATACTATGTAGACTAAAGTGCTGAGAATGGACATTCTTGTCTTGTTCTTGATCTTAGAAGAAAATTTTCAGCTTTTCACCATTTAGTATAATGTTAGCTATGGGTTGGCTTTCTTTTTCAGATGATTAAAATGTTCTGGAATTGCCATGGCCAGTGTTCTCAGTGGTTAGAGCATCTGCCCATGCATGGAAAGGTCAAGGGTTCATTTCCAGTCAAGGGCATGCACCTAGGTTGCAGGTTCAACCCCTAGCCCTGGCTGAGGCTCAGGTGGAGGCAACTAATCTATGTGTCTCTCTCACATCAATGTTTTTCCCTCCCCTCCCCCATATCTTTCTCTCTCTCCCCCTCCCTGCTTTCCACTCTCTCTAAAAATCAATGGAAAAAATATCCTCAGGTGAAGATTAACAACAACAAAATGCTCTAGAATTATAATGGAGATGTATGCAAAATTTGTGACTATACTAAAAACCACTGAATTGTACATTTTAAAAGGGTGACTTTTATAGAATGTGAATTGTATCTTCAAAAACCTGTTATTAAATAAAACACTGTGAAATAATGGTAGCCACTGATTTTTCTAAAGTACACTAATATACAAATATCTAGGAGTACTGTGGATGTTATATGTATATGTGTGTGTGCACAGCGCATAGTATGATATGTAATGTGATATGACAACGTCACATTGTGTACACAAGGTACTCTTACATACTGTTTTTAGCTCTAAATCTCTAAATTCTCATTTGTTAATTGAACTTCGTAGAGACTTAGGGACTTATGTAAATGACCACTGTGCTCTTACTGAAGTATATATCCTTTTATCTCTGAAGTTATTATTACAAATGATTATAATACAAATTGTTATCTCTCATTTCTAGGATTTCCTGAGAATATAACAGTGAAACAGCGTTATCGACTACTTGGAAATAGTCTCAACGTACATGTAGTAGCTAAACTAATCAAAGTACTATACGGATAATCTTAAATGACTTTGAAAGATGGTCACAGTATTCCTTCATATCCAGACGGTAATTCTGAAATTCTAGTTTAATTAATTTTGATGAAATTCAACTAAATTACCTTAATCTCTCATAACAAATTTGAATGTATCACAAAAATGCCAATTTGTTTCCTTACATTTATATTATGTCTTTTGTAAAGTGAAATTATTGTTATTCTTTAGGTGAATATATTTTCATATGAAGTCATTAAATATATATCTAGTATTCTTTTTTATAATATGGTATTAAATAACTTTAGGAACATTAGAATTTTAATGTTTTCATCAATATTTTATACAGAGACATAATAGGCATATTGTAATGAATCTGAGAAGTTGTATTTTTTTGTGTTAATTAAAGAAGTTGTTTTGTGAATCTTGTCATTTTACTTTTTTGTTAGATTATTATTTTTAATTCTAAAATAATGATTCTAATTCTAGCCTGTTTCAAATATTGAATATTTTACTTAATTTCAATTCCTTAAACATTTCTTTGTTTTACTTAAATGCTTATAATATTTTAAATCAAATTATTATCATTCATTTTATACAACAGTCTGAAGAAAGTGTCAGAAAAAATAATCCTAAATTCGTGATTACCTTTTTATCAGGAAGCCACAGAACATGGAGGTGCACATTACCTTTAATCCTATCTCCATCTGAAAGGTTAAACTCGTTCCTTGTTCATTTGTGTGTATTTCCCTTCAGTTTGCTGTTAGCAGAGCTTGTTTTTGTCTTTGTTCTCAGCTTCTTGTTATAAGTTGATTTTGTCATCACATTCTAAGGAATGTAGTGTGACATTAAGATTTTAGTTGAGTGTTGACCTATGAACCAGGAGGTCATGGTTTGATTCCCTTTCAGGGTACATGCCCAGGTTGTGGGCTTAATCTCCAGTGTGCAGGAGGCAACCAATCAATGATCCTCTCTCATCATTTATGTTTTTCTCTTCTTCTCCTTTCCTTTCTGAAATCAATAAGAATATATTTTTAAAAAACAATTTTAGGGAGGAAACTCTGCCTTTTGACCCCATTTCGTATAACTAGTCTGTGAATTAACTTTAATAACTTTTAATGTTCTCTGTTTCTACCTTTGCAGTAGACTTCTTGGAATTAAAGTTTCTAATCAATCTAAGTCTTGCATCAGAAATTCTGTGGTTTTTATTTCAGTGGTAAAATCAAGTGAAAAATGGATGAAAAAATAAAAAGAAATATGAACAGAAATTTTATAAAATTTTAATTTATATTATTATCCTTAAAAAAACACAATAGTTTGATGTGGAGAAATTAGAACCCTGTATGCTGCTGGTGAGAATGTAAAATGGTACAGCCACTGTAGAAAATAGATGATGATTTCTTAAAAATATATAAACAGAATTATCATATGATCTAGCAATTCCACTTCTGAGTATTACCCAAAAAGATCCAAAGTGGGGACTTTGATATTTGTACACCGATGTTCATAGCAGCATTATTCCCAATAGCTAAAAAGTGGAAACAATCAGAATGCCCATCAGCAAATGAATGGAGAAACAAAATACGGTGTATACCTACAACGGAATATTATTCAGACCTAAAAAGGAAATTCTGATACAACATGGATGAACCCTGAAGACATTATGCTCAGTGAAATAAACCAGACACAAAAGGGGACATTTTGTATGATTCCACTTCCATGAAGTATGTGAAAGAATCCAGTTCTTAGTGATAGAAAGTAGGCTAGACGTCACCAGGGCTTGGCACTTCGGGAAGGGGAGTGGTGTTCCAAGGCTGCAGAGTTTTGTTTTCTGTGGAAAAAGCTCTGGAGATGGGTGATGGTGATAGTTGCACAACAGTATGAATGTAATTAATGCCACTGAACTGTATACTTAAAAATCATTAAAATGACAAATTTTATGTCATGTACTACATTTTACCACAAAAAACCCAACAGTCATTCCCCCTCACCATTTTTTTTTCAGAAGAACTCATAAACATGGATATAGGCCAATGCATATGCACGTGTGGGCAAAAGTAGGTTTATAGTTGTGAGACATATAAAATTACAGATATGTGTCCTTATTCTCCCATTGCCCCCCTTCCATCCTACTCATGCCCTCACCCCCCTGTTGTCTGAGTCCATTGGTTAGGCTTATATGCATGCATACAAGTACTTTGGTTGATCTCTCCCCATTACCCCTGCCCTCCCCTACCTTCCCTCTGAGGTTTGATGGTCTGATCAATGCTTCTCTGTCTCTGGATCTGTTTTTGTTCATCAGTTTATGTTCTTCATTATATTCCACAAATGAGTGAGATCATGTGATATTCATCTTTCTCTGACTGGCTTATTTTGCTTAGCATAATGCTCTCCAGTTCCATCCATGCTGTTGCAAATGGTAAGAATTCCTTCTTTTTTACCGCAGCGTAGTATTCCATTGTTTAGCTGTACCATGGTTTTTTAATCCACTCATCTGCTGATGGGCACTTAGGCTGTTTCCAAATCTTAGCTATGGTGAATTGTGCCGCTATGAACATATGGGTGCATATATCCTTTCTGATTGGTGTTTCTAGTTTCTTAGGATATATTCCTAGAAGTGGGATCACTGGGTCAAATGGGAGTTCCATTTTTAGTTTTTTTGAGGAAACTCCATACAGTTCTCCACAGTGACTGCACCAGCCTGCATTCCCACCAGAAGTGCACGAGGGTTCCTTTTTCTCTGCATCCTCGCCAGCACTTGTCATTTGTTGATTTGTTGATGATAGCCATTCTGACAGGTGTGAGATGGTACCACATTGTCGGTTTGATTTGCATCTCTCGGATGATTAGTGACTTGGAGTGTGTTTTCATATGTCTCTTGGCCTTCCTTATGTCCTCTTTTGAAAAGTATCTATTTAGGTCCATTGCCCATTTTTTGACTGGGTTGTTTATCTTTCTTTTGTTAAGTTGACATATAGGTTTTTATTAATTTGTTTGGTGTCAATATACTTTCACCTTCTCAGGAAACTTCATTATTGTTTCTTTTCCCTGATAAATATTCAAACTCACTACCTCAATCATTCCTAGCATTTACTGTGTTCAAGTCTCTTCTATATTAAAAACAATGACAGCAGGTAGAAACCTCCCTAGATTCTTGTCTTCTTTCATCGCTTCCCTTTCATAGTCAAGCCTCTTAGAAAGGTAATCTGTAACTTATCTCCACTTCTTAATCTCTCCTCTAACTCCTCCACTGCTCCAATGTAGCTTTGGCCTTGGTCAAACTGCCAAAAGAGCATTTACTATCATGATCAAGGATCTATGTGTGCCTGAGGTTTTCAGTCCTTATCTTCCCTGACTTAACAACAGTCTAAACTCTCTTTCTTGATACAGTTTCTCCCTTTGACTAACATGGCATTGCATTCTTTTTTTAAAAAATTAAAGTATAGTTGACATTCAATATTATATTAGTTTTAAGTGTACAACATAGTGATTCAACATTTATACATCCTAATCCTTAGTGGTAGGCAGTCGAGCCAAACGACAGATGGGAAGATGTGTCACTCTGAGGGATCACCCTGAGGGACCCCCTTCAGAGCACCCTGAACATTGTGTTTTGGCTAATAAGTCAGATCTGCACAGTGGGCACTGCCCTGTGCCTTAAAGAGTGAGAAAATATCTCTATCAACCAACTTGCTCTTTCTCACAAGATAGAGCCTTTTGAAAAGTCAAAAACAGTCATTGAAATTGTGAAAGTTGAGGGACTACCCAGAACTTTAAAAAATAATCAGAATAGTGGGTAGGATTCCTTCACAAAAATCACAATCTGTCTTTTGCTCCAATTTCAACCTAGTTCAGGTCAGACGTTACTAAATCGAAGGCTTCTGAGGATAGAGAAATGAAGCTGAGAACAAATTAAAGTGGTTCAATTCTAGCTATCGCAGTACAGAATAAAGAAGAGAATAGACTGACAGCTGTCAGAGGAAGGGGATTTGGGGGGCTGGGTGAAAAAGGTGAAGGAATAGCAAAAAGAGAAAAAGAAAAACAGGGAACAGTGTGGTGGTTACCAGAGGGAAAGGGGAGAGGGGAAGGTAGTAGTAAAGGTAAAATAGGGATAAATGGTGAAGGAAGGAGACTTTGACTTAGGGTGGTGAACACACCATACAATACACAGACGATATAGAATTGTACACCTGAAACCTAAATAATTTTATCAACCAATGTCACCCCAATAAGTTCAATAAAAATAATTTTAAAAAAATAGCTACTATGTCAGCCAACTGTAAGCACATACTAAAGGGTATAGTCTGCAGGCCAGCTGTTGTATCTGCACCCAAAGTAAAATAGTTCTGGTTGTTCTTTTTGTTTTGATAACTTCATTATTAAACCCAAAATTTAGAATCAAGGGGTTCCCAAATAAGCCAAGATAACACAATAAGGATCTAATTTTAAACCCATATAGACAAAGTAGTTAAAAATGTATTTTCCTGCCCTTGCCGGTTTGGCTCGGTGGATAGAGCGTCAGCCTGTGGACTGAAGGGTCCCAGGTTCGATACCAGTCAAGGGCATATGCCCAGGTTGCGGCCTGGATCCCCAGTGAGGGGTGTGCAGAAGGCAGCCAATCAATGATTCTCTCTCATCATTGATGTTTCTATCTGTCCCTCTTCCTTCCTTTCTGAAATCAATAAAAATATTTTTTAAATGTATTTTCCTGAGTTGATTATGTTATTGAAAAGGTTAACTTTTCATAATTTGGTCTTCAGCTTGGAACTATGACTAGTTTAGGCTACCAGTTATAAACTCACTAATAACTTTGGACTTTGAAATTGAGTGAGGGTCAGATGGTCTCAGCAGTTTTTTTTGTAGTCTGTGATTGAACTCATTATGTAATTTTTCAAGATAGCCTTTGAACCTTCCTGTACTTAGAACTCTCTTCCTCTCAACTTCTAATGTCAAAGTGTGCTGCATACAACTACCAGATCAACTTCTTAACATGCATTTTTTGATCCACCTCCAATCTAGCCTCTTCTTTCTTCATTCATCATACTCACCAAGATATCTAGTTATGCCCATAATATTTCACTTTATTAGAAGGCAGTAAGAATTCTAAACATGTTCTTCAAATTCAGTCTGTACCAGTGAACCTGTCTGCACCCTTTTCTTTCTCCTGTCATTCCTTCACTTTGCTACTAAAATTTTAAAACTTCAGGTTTTAAAAAATTTATTTCCCTAGCCACTCTGTTTCTCTCTTTAGGACTTCTAAGAACATCTTGCACTAAAATACTTGTACTCTTCAAAAATGTTATGAAACCATGACCCAAAAACTACATTAATATTTTTGTCTTGATTTGTGAGATTATTCCTTTTTAAGTTTATTTTTTCAATAAATATGAGCATGTGAAAATAACTTCTTTGACTTCTTACTCC